GCCGGCCTGACCGGCAGAGCCGTCCGGCCGAGCCCTTTTCGCGACCTTCCCGGTGGAATTTTTTGATGAATTTTTTTGAGCATGTTGCTCATCAAGTCTAGTTTGTCCATACCAAATTTCAGCTCAAAATTCGATCGGGAAGACATTCAAATCTTTTTTTGAAGTTGACTGCGTTTTTATATGTATATTTTGACGCAGTCAACTTAAAAAAATGATTTGAGTGCCTTTCCGATTGAATTTTTAGCTGAAATTTGGTATGGATAAACTAGACTTGATGAGGAACATGCTCAAAAAATTTCATCAAAAAATTTCACCGGGAAGGTGCCCAAACGGGCTCGGCCGGACGGCTCTGCCGGTCAGGCCGGCCTGACATGAAGAGTTCTCTCTCTCTCTCTCTCTCTCTCTCTCTCTATATATATATATATATATATATATATATATATATATTGGTGTCATGTGAAAGATAATAAAAATTGATGATTTTTGATATATTTTTTAAAAACATTGGATGTTTTTGAAAATCATAAATTATTATTTTATTTCTATATATTTAATATTAGTATCATACGTAATATGAAATATAATAAAAAGTGATGAATTTTGATATATTTTTGGGAAAATTTGCGAAATAGGAGTAAAAAAGTTTGCAAATTCAAAAAAAACGACAGTCATGTCCTACTCCCAAAATAGGAGTAATTACTGTCAAGTTTGAAAAATATTGTCATGTTTAAAGTTTGGTACTGCCAAAATATGACAGTAATTAGTCCTATTTTAGGAATAAAAAACATGACAGTCCTATTTTGGAATATACAGACGTTTTTAGTCCAATTTAGGGTAATTTCCCTATATCTTTTGTAACAATCGTAGTACAAACAAAAAAATATAGCACTTTAAAAAAACTCTTAAAGTGGAATTTTTTATATATATTCAGTATTGGTGACATATGAAAGATAATAAAGAGTTATGAATTTTGATATATATTTTGCAACAAGCGGATTACAAATAAAAAAGTCACATCCTATCACTTAAAAAAAAGATTTTTTTAAAGTGTTAAATTACTTTTTTTATTTTCATATGTTACGTATTGATGTCAATTGAAAAATAATAAGAACTTATGATTTTTGATATATCATTGTAATAATAAGAGTACAAATAAAAAATTATAGCATTTAAAAAAATGGGATTTTATTTTGGTGCGATCATTGACTCATATTCTTCTACGCGGTTACGTCCCTGTGCCCCCCGGCGCAAGACGCCACTTCAAGTGGCAGTTTTCTTAATCATGGTTTAGCTCAACATTATTTTCGGAAATACTTTTAACCTGACCCTAATTTGGTAAATATTTTTTTTATTTAGCATTATTTTCGGGATTTTTTTTAAAATAATAATTAGGATATTTTTTATTAGATTGGTATCGGGCTTATATCAGAACAAAACATACCAAACCAGATTGGATTAAACCATATCAGAATTTGACAGTTGCAAAGTACACTTATAACAAAACCTGATCAGTTCAAATCAAAACATACCAAATCAGACATAAACACACCAGAAGATTTCAATCTTTGTAACATGTGAAAACACACTTTCTCTCAAATGTAGATTAATAGAATTGTACTCAAATACAATTTGAGTAGACTCCTACTTATAGAAATTTTTACTCAAGCACAAATTAACACAATTTCACTGCTCTTAGGATGTTTTTACTTGGACTGTAATTTGCTGGTCTGGTCTGGTCTGGTCTGATCTGGTCTGGTCTGGTCTGGTAAGGTCTGGTTTCTTTGTATTTTTATAACTATCCAAGTCTGGTCTAGTCTGGTCTGGTCTGAACTGGTCTGGTCTGGTCTGGACTGATCTGGTCTGGTCTGGTTTGGGACAAATTACAGTCCAAGTAAAAACATCCTTATTATACACAATCTCTTCAAATCCAAAGTTACACGTTTCTAATTATTCCGTATGAATTTTTCTAGAAGAGCTAATATCCTAAAAAAAAATCCTAGAAGAGCTAATATCTTGAAAACTATTGTGTATCACTAAAAAAAATCCTACGGAAATTCAGACATCATTATTCCGTATGAATTTCGCTCAATTCTAAATCCTAGAGGAGCTAATATCCTAAAAATGACCACCCCCATTATTAAATATATAAATTATAAAAATGTGTAGTTACTTTTGAAAAAAAAAGTTAACTATAGATGAAATGTAATGAATAAAAAGTGAGAATAATCGACTTAATTGGATAATACAAACTGAGAACATGTTTAGATCATTAGTTAAAAATAAGACATACTCCATAAATAAGAATATGCATTATCAACAATGTGATAATCGACTTAATAAGGGAATATCCGTTAGTTATAATAACTCATATATATGTCAGTACGTGTGCACACACATATTTAATAAAACTAAGAACAACATCGTTATATCCCGTGCACGACACAAGATAAAATAATCAAAATTATTTTATGTATCTTTGGATTACCAATATATCAAATACGGGACAACCAATATGGGATTCCGTAATTCTTTTAGTTATGCATATAACTTTAATATAGTACTATCTAAACATGAAATTTAAGATCATTTTACATTTTGTTTAATATGAGACATTTTTTTTTTTTCATCGAATAGTTTGACATGTTTATGTTTCAATTATATGTTAACTACCACTTGATGTGAGAACCTTTTTCTATATTTATTTCATTTAACCTTCTAGGTAAAAATTGTCTACTAAATGTCTAAAATATGCAATCTTTGTTAGTTCAATAACCCTTAATTTTACTTAATAAGATCAAAATACTATCATTCTAAGAATATCATAACACCATCAACAACTCAATCTAATGAAAATGAATCAACCACTACCAATGACGTTATGCAAACTAATGTCGCGGCCATAACCTTTACTAAAACCAGAATGTCACGAAACTATATATTCTAAACTTTTTCGTAAATAAAGGATCGAAGGACTAATTTGCTGAATTTTAAAATCTAGAAGAGCTAATATTTTTACAAAAATTACTACACCCATTATTAAATACTACCTCCGTCCCTTTTATATTGGGACGAAAGAGGGTGACACGAGTTTTAAGAAAAGTGGGTTTGTGTGATTGATATTAATTGATAAAGTAAGAAAAAAGTAAAAATGATTTTGAGCCACACAAATTTTACCAAATAAGGTGTGAGACAATTAAATAGGGACATCCCAATATGGTAAAACGGGACATTTAAAAGGGGACGGAGGGAGTACTACATTTGTCCCCCTAATATTGGGACGAAAGAGAGTGGTGTGGTTTTTAAGAAAAGTAGAATTATGTGGTTGATAATGAGTTGATAAAGTGGGAATAAAACTATAATGAATTAAAGTCACATAAATGTTACCAATTATGGTGAGACAATTATAGGGGGGCAGATGGAGTATATATATATATATAAATTAGAAAAATGTGTACTCACTTTTGAAAAAACAGCAAGTCATGGATTAAATCTAATAGATAAAAATGGGCATTGAGAAAATTCCTTTTTTATTAGGTAAAGAAAGTTGAAAAAAATAATTTCATTTGAAAGCAACTGATTGTTATAAAAAAAATTGGCTCTTTTAATTAGAAAATATAGAATGAGAACATGTTTAGATAATTAGTTAAAAAAATAAGACATATTCAATAAATGAGAATATGCATTACCAACTAATCTTATAATCGATTGAATAAAAGACTTTCCACTAATTATAATAACGATACATACACACGCACGCACAAAGACTAAAATTAAAAAAGGGAAAATGTGCAAATAGGCCCATGTACTAACAAAAAAAGGTCAAATAAGCCCTTATTTAGGAGGCTCTGTCCGACCGTCGCCATTTGAAGTGGTTCCCGATGGAATTTTTTGATGAAATTTTTTGAGCATCTTATTCATTAAGTCTAGTTTACTCATACCAAATTTCAGTTAAACTTCAATCGGGAAGACATTCAAATGAATTGTTGAAAATAACTGCGCAGTTAGAAGCACAGTTATCTTCAAGAATTGATTTGAATGCCTTCCCGATTGAAGTTTTAGCTGAAATTTGGTATGAGTAAACTAGACTTGATGAATAAGATGCTCAAAAAAATTCATCAAAAAATTCAACCGGGAACCACCCCAAATGACGACGGCCAGACATAGCCTCCTAAATAAGGGCTTATTTGACCTTTTTTGGTTAGTACATGGGCCTATTTGCACCTTTTCCCATTAAAAAATAAAATCACTTTTATCCCGTACACGGCACGGGTAAAGATACTAGTACGTATACAATATGAGGTGAGCCTTAGTTTTTTTCTCACTATAATTATATTTTCTTTTCTGCAAGACATGTATACATTCAACTTAGCTTTTAATGCACAGTAACTTACTACATAAATTTGGGGCTTAGTTTTTCATCTGACATAAAGCTTAATCATTAACTAAAATGGTTTTTTTAATAGAGTTATTATAGTCAGTCAGATCAATAGTTGCAAAAGATGAACTTTTATAAACAATGTCATAACTTTTAATGATGTAGTTATTCTTCTTATTGCATATCAGCTCAAGTGGCTGAGCATCGTATGAAAGAACACAATATGTGAGCTTTAGGCCCACATAAGCCTTCACCTTTTTTGTTGAAGTAATAAACAAACTTTTATTTTTCAATTTATTACATGTAATACATCATTGCTGAAAATCCATTAATCACAAGCATTCTTGTTTGAAAAGGGAAGATATCCGTGAGTCAAAGATCCCAACCTGTTAATTGTGTTAGAACTTTCATTTAAGATTGGTAACTTTTTAGAATAAATCTCCAAATCTTCACAAACAAACATTGACTATTGTTACAGACTTACAGTAAAAGTAAGGTCTAATACAACTCAAACGCTACATGCTTCACAAATGCATTATGTTAATAATTACTTCGTATTTTACATCATCATAACTATACAGAGAAGTCTAAAAAAAGAAGAAGTTAGCAACATAAGAACATTCATCTCATATATTCACATAGTTATATTGCCAGTATACTCTAATCAAATGAAGTCTATTGATTCATTTATCAATGTAACATTTTAGCAGTCACTTGGTAGCAATCCAAACAATGCATTCAGTTAAAGCTCTCTAAGCCTATTTTAACCTCCCAACAACAAAAAAACAAAAACGGGACCTGTTTTAAGCTCAATGAGATAGTCTTGCAGACATATTCTCAAACACCTTAACCGCCCCAAGTACATACTTTGAAGGGAGAGATACATTTTAATACTAGAATGAAAATTCAAACTTGAATGTTGCCCTGTGTTGTCCAAATTAGCGTTTAAATTTCAATTGTGCAAAAAGAATACTAGACAAAAAACATAACCAAACAGCGCTTACATCTTCATAGTCACTTCTTCATAGCCTCATGCACAAGCCTAGTCTGTAGAGCTACCAAGTCTGCTGCCTTCGCACAGATTTCAAGCTGTTCTTCCCACACCTTGGACCATTTCTCCTCCATCTCTGCAACCTTGGAACTCTCCATCAGATTCACCTTTTCCTTGATCATATCCAATGCGGCATCCGCAAACATTGGATAGTACTCCTTGTTGATACACTTGAAAAAGTGAGGGTATTTGGGCTCAACATTCTTAACCTTTTCAACCTGAGCAGTTTGTTCATCATTTCCCTTGAGACCAGCTTGTCCATAAATTTCCACTGCATTTGGTGTATCTGTAATGTTGTTGTCATTGCCTAGACTTTTCACAATCCCACCTATGACAGATGCAATCTGATTATCGTCATTCGAGACCTGGTCATCTGCAGACTCCATTCCCTCAGTAGAGAGGTCTTCTTCCGCATATTTGCTCTTCTTTGACTTCTTTGATTCTTCCTCTTCGGCATCCAAAGCACGCTTTCCAGGTGGTGGCATCGAAGATTCAGGAACCTTTTGGGAGGAAGTGACATGGGGCAGCGTGGTGAAGCCAGATGCGGATGGTAAAGGTTGACATTCCAGGGAATCCGAATCAGAATCGGATTCCTCGTCAGAGGATTCGGAAGAGGATTGAGGTTTCTGGCCAAGGGTTGGATTCACGACTGGAGGCGCTTGGGGAGCTTTTTCCTCGTCCTCTTCCTCAGAGGAAGAGCTGTATTCGGATTCTGATTCAGGTTGCTGTGGTTGAACAATTTGTTCTTCTTGCTTGGAAACCTTTTCGTCCTCATCAGAAGAAGTTGCGTCCTCACCAGAAGATGTTGCGTCCTCACCAGAAGACGTTGCGTCCTCATCGGATGATGCGGAGGGAAGCTCATCTCCAGGGCGGATTTTAGATTCGGCGGCCATTGTTTCGAGGGTTTCGGTAGGGTTTATCTTTTCTGTTTGAGGGAACGGTAGGGTTTGTCTGCCCCGACTAGTATATATATCTACGGAATGGATGATGAAAAGCCTTAAACGGCTGAGAACTGCGAATTGATCTAAGCCGCTAGTTTAGATTCAATCTCACGGCTCTAGTTTTCTCCTAAATATCCGTCTCTTGATTTTCTTCTTATTGGGTTCCTTTTTAATACTCCCTCCGTCCCTAATAACTTTGCCAAGTTTGACCGGCACGGGAATTAATAAAGTAAAAACTGTGTGGTTGAGGTTTGTGCAGAGGAGAGAGAATTAACTGGAACCACAAATTCTTTACTTAAATGGGAAAGTGGCAAAGTTATTGGGACATCCGAAAATGGAAAGTTGGCAAAGTTATAAGGGACGGAGGGAGTAAAACTTATCTCTCACTTATCCTTCTTATTGGCATTCATGGATTGTTTTTGGAATCATTTTGATGACGTGAAAGATTTTTTGGCATCATGGATGAAGATTGAAGAGTTGAGTTTATTTGATAAAATCATCTGGTAACAAATTCTAAAGCTGAATTATTTTGAGATTATTTCCAACTTCTAGGCATATACTGATAATTATGGTAATGACTAGCTTTGTAGTTCGTGCATGCTCATGCTCCTATCCAAGTTAATTAAAATCATGAATGAAGAGAAATTTATTGATTTGAAGATTATTTGAGATTATCATATGTGGAGGTGATATGACAATAATCATGAAAAATCGTAAAGTTGAAGATCATCAATGATCACCACTTTATATGTCTTCATTGAGTTAATCCAGTTTGAGTATCCAATCCAGCGTCTTCTATATCTTTTTAAATTAAATATGTAAATCCTTACTTTTTTTTATTAGACATCATTTATGTGATGATTTTAATTATATCAAATAATTATGATTTAAAATATTAAACATTCCGATGTAAAAATAAATGAATTCAGTGTTTAATCTTTTTTTTGTTACTTCAGATCTATTTTTGAAAAAAGTAATTCATAGATGCAGATAAAAAAATTTAACTTTGAGATTATAATTTTAGCACTTGGATTTACTTAAATAAAAAATGAACCTAAAAATATACAGCTGAAAAAAATTGTATGTTTTTTTAAAAAATTATATATATTATTGATGTTGTTGGGTTAATGGCCCAAGCAGAGGGCCGACCCATTTACGCCATCGGTTGGACGAACGTCCAGACAGGTCATTAGGCGGATCAAGCTAACAGGCAAACATGGCACAGACGAATGTCGGGGCCAAGACCTAGGCTTACTGGCCCCTCCCGACGAGCATCCATGCATACAATGGTGGATCAGGCCCACAACCAGCGTAGTGACAACGAACGTCTCAGGATCAAACCTCCAGACAATCGCATCGGCGACGAACGTCGCTTCCAGAAGACGTTAACATTGGGAGCCAGCCCAATCCATGTGACAAATCATCTAAGGGCCAGGATACGAATGGCCCGATACCCTTTACGATATTACCAGGAGCAGTCCACCTCCCCCGGCAGGAAGAACGTCCCCACTAATTAGGCGGGAAACCCAAATCCTGGCGGGAAACGCATTTAATGCTGAAGATTTGGTGGTTGGAGCACCAGCCACTCACAGTCCTCCACATCAGCATAGCCAGCTGCCCATTGGTAGTATAAATAGCAGCATTTATTTCATTGTAAAGGGTTGACAACTTTCTATTCTTAGCACTCTAGCTTATAGCCTTCTTACTTGCAGCTCTTCTACTGCCTTGTAAGACGAACGGCCGACGAGCCTTAGCGAAAAGTATTGTATTGGGGAGTTATTAACAGATTAATAATACCTAATCCCTTACTTGCTAGTTACTGTTTCTTAATCCATTTAACTTGTTAGTTGGGCTAGATTATTCATACACACTCCACTCGAAACTCTTGGGCTTACGTGTTGAACCCGAGGGTTGAAGGAATAAACCTCAACAGATGTCATATGGAAGAGCATAAAAAATCATGAATTTTAATACTCCCTCTGTCCCATAAAACTTAATCAAAGTTGACTTGCACGTAGATTACTAAAGTAAAAATTGTGTGGTTGAAATATGTGCAAAGGAGAGAGAATAACTTTCACCACATATTCCTTACTTTAACTGGAAATGACAAAATTTTTTGGGACGGACAAAAAAAGAAATTTATTGGTCAATTTTTATGGGACAGAGGAAGTATATATATTTATAAAAATTGTAATATAAATAAAAAACTATAATACTTTAAAGTAAATTGGGATTTTATTTCAAGTGGGTTCTAACATAGTGAGTTTTTTTTTTCGAATTAATGTTAATTAATTAATTACGAAAATAATGCTGGGAAAAAAGTATTTACCAATATACTGCTGGGCCTTAACCACGGTCAGGGGTAAGTCGCCCAACGGTTGGGCGACTTATAACTTATAAGCTACTGCCAGCATTTCAGCAGTTTTTTCGTCCCAGTTCAACCCGGACTCATCTGTTTTCTATAAATAATGTCTCTCTTCTCCTGTTTAAGTGTTACGAGCCAGATACAACACATTATAAAACATACAACACACTTCTTCTCAATCACATACATAACACTTCCTCTCATCAACATAACAAACACCTTGAAAATACCCTTTACAAATCAAATACAAAACCTTCCATTCATAACCGGTATAACACAGTACAATCATCCAATATTCATAACAAGTAATCATCTAATATTCATACTTGAACACACCAAGACAACATACAAGACTTTACAAGAGAAAATACGTCAAATGTTGTAAATTGTTCCTACAACATATACTGCATAAGAAAAACTACAATACAAAAGACAGACTACAAGTTCCCATCGTCAGCTTCGTCATGGAGATGTTGCTGCTCATGTCTACGTCTACGCCGTTGTCGTGGTTGATGAACCACTCTCTCATGATGCGTCTGGGATGATGAAGCCGCCGCTGCACTAGACGTGGATGGCATCTCTTGAGATGGGGGCATGTGTATAAGATGGCCGTAGTTGACTCGCCCCAACACATCTGAACACAAGGACGCAATGTCTGTCAGAGTCTGTCCATACAAGTCCACATCAGGACTATCAGTCACTGTGGCAGTAGCCCGCTGATGTATGCGCTGCAAAGCTACCAAAATTGTAATATATCCAAAAGACAAAATTCATAAACAATTCACATTTCAATATGAAACTACCCAAATTTTGATATCTACATTGAAGTTTACATTTCAATACCCAAATTTAGCTACATTCAAGTCTACTCAAATGCCCAAATGTAAAAATACACATTAAAATTTACAATCAATTTGAAATCAAATTTCAACATTTCATACATATCCACATTTCACAACAATTGAATTCACAATCAATTCATAATAAAAAAATTCGAAAATTTTAACATTCAAAACCCTAAATTAAAAATGAGATGAAATGGAGTTTGATTTACCTAGAAGAAAGAAGAAAGAGAGATGAAGATGGAGATGGAGGTTCGCCGGAATGGGGTCGCCGGAGAAGGAGGTTCGCCGAAGCTGGAGATGGCTGGTCCTTCGTCGGTCCTCGCTCGTCCTTCGTCGCTGCAGAGTAGCTCTCCAATTGGGTGGGTTTAGTGTTTAACGCGTTCTGTTTGTGGTTGTCTGCGAGAACTTACTTAATGGTAAGTCGCCCAACGGTTGGGCGACTTATAAGTCGCCAAACCGTTTGGCGACTTATAAGTCGCCCAACAGTTGGGCGACTTTCCCCAACCATGATTAAACCAGCAGTATTTTGGTAAATACTTTTAACCCAACCCTATTTTCGTAATTAATTAATTAATTAATTAACATTAATACGGAAAAAAACTCTAACATAGTTAGCTTCTTTCATTCAAAAAAACATAGTTAGCTTCTTCCGACCGTCGACTGCTCGTCCCTCTCTTGTAAGGTGGATGAAGGCAGCAGCACCTTCCCACCCCATCGGTCGCCCCTAATTGAGGCACTACGTCGCCTATGTTTTACGTGGCCGTATATCGGTGTTTTTAGGAGCAACTTTTGATGTGGGGCGGATTCCTTCTGAACAAGATAAATAAGAAATTGGCCGGATTTGATGATTTTGGAGAAAAAAGGTGATGTGTTGATGGTCCGCCCCCCTTCAAAACTATCACCATGGAGTGAACGAGCGACTTGGATTTGGATAGCTGCAAATTCTTGCTTTGTTTTTTTTAGTTTAAGCTTTATTTTTCTTTCATTATACACTTTACCTTGTTTTTGGATTCTACGTGTTAGTGGCAGTCTTGGGATGAATAAGGTTGTTATTTAACTTTAAGCTCCCGAATGTTCAACGAAAAGTTTCGCTCACATTTGGGTGAACTTTTCTATGTCTGATCAGGGACTGAGTAGACTTTTCGGCAATTGTGAATCTTGTGAATTGGGCAAGAGTACTGTGACCTTACGGGCACGGTAAGAACTCTATATTTCCCGTTTGGTAGTCAACTTCTTTGGGATGATTGTCTGAGTCTGATTGTATGGCTGTTAGTGAGTTTAGATGGAGTTTTTTAGAAGAAAGATTGTTGAGTACTTGAGTTTTAAGGTGTTGACCGATTGCCACTCCGCCGTCATGCATTTACTTTTAGTATTAAAAAATTGTATATTTTGTTAAAAGTCAACGCTTTTTAACGATTTTTTGACTTTTTTATTCACATTACCGTATTAAGCTTGTCTAATTTACTAAAGCTCTCTATTATATGGACTTGAAACTCTGAAGGTGGAAGATTAGTTATAATTTCAAGAGATATTACCCAAAATGGGACTAAAAAGTTTGAAAATTCGAAAATAGGACTTCCATGTTGTTATTCCCAAAATATGACTAATTACTGCCATGTTTTGGCAGTACCAGACTTCAAACATGACAGTATTTTCCAAATTTGGCAGTAATTAGTCCTATTTTGGGAATAAAAACATGACAGTCATATTTTGGAATTTTCGAACTTTTTTAGTCCCATTTCGAGAACTTTCCCTAATTTCTAACAAAATTTCTCAACACCAGGCGTACATAAGGGTAGCTTGAAGTT